TTATCGATAAAATTCGAACGGCTATTATAACTGTCCCAATCATCAACAGTTGACGCAAAACATTTCATTCTTGAATGATATCATGTGTTCGTGCTCTAGATTTACGGAGAACACAAACTTTTCAGTGCTGATTAGCCACTGCGTGAATAGAAAGATCCTTAACGTGCAATCCTATTGAAACTTTCATTTCAATCAATCAGGAGACACAAGAATACGACGAGAGGCGATAGTACCTTGCATGATAGCCAGTAGAATAACGATAACGAAGAAGAAGAATGATATATCGTAGAGCATTCGAGGATACTCCAAATCGTCGCCATATGGTGATTCGAGTTCATCACCAATACCTCCACCAGCTCGTACACCGGCGTAGAAATGGAAAATGAAACACTGAAACAATGAATCCAATGAGACATGCCAATATTTGGAGACAAAGTTTGGAGCTGCAGTCTTCAAATATTGACGTACCTTACTGTCATCATCAGTACGTTTGAGCAGCCGCCCGTTCTAAGAAGCGACTAGTTTACATTGTAAGTCCAACCTCATAAACGTTATATCAAACAAATTTTGGCCACTCAAAGTCGTGTTTTTTATAAGATCACATTCAATCACCATTTCTTTCTTGTTTGGCAGATATTTTATTTTCAATTGTTTCTTTGATGCTAATCAAAATTAATTTGAGGAAATGGGTATACAGATGGTTGCGAGAAGAATCGAACTAACTCACCGTGAGCATATTGTGGCACTTCCGATCCGGTTCTTCACCCTCCTCACCCTCTTGTACGTAGAATTTACGGAAGAAATTAAATGCTACCACCGTATACAAATAGACGACCACTAATGTCATCATAATGGTGAGAATCAACTGAAATTTTGACATTTTATCAATGCTACTGCACGTGATAATGATGAAAGTTAGCAAATCCCCGGAATCGAATAATCTCCGGATTCGATAACTCACTCTTACGAAGCCAATCGAACAGCTACATGCATACACCGATAAAATGATGCGATCAAATTTTAGAACGATGAATAGCGAAGAGAAACCAAAATGAACAGATAATTTACTTCCGAATCGTTGATTCACACAGCCGTTAATGAAAAACTGATTAGGTATTTGATAACACAAACGATTACCTGTTGTAGATTATGGGTGACTGATTGTAGAATTGCTTTTAACATAGGGAACGATAGTACCACATCGATCAGGTGGAATGCATAAAAGAACGGTGACCAGAACACACCGGCCGCTGAACAGAACAAATAGTTGACACGGTACAAGAACTGACCATTGGTTAGGATCACACCGATCCATAACCAACAAGTGTACCTAAAATATGTTACAGGTATAATATGATTGAGTTGTACAGAAATATTCACTAGTTCTTATGAGTCAAAACAAATTACCATTGATTTCTAAACTTTATATATTCCTAACTTCACCTTGAATAGGATTTTCTGAAATTTGCTTTACTTACAGCAATGTATAAGGCAAATATATAAACATTTAGAGGTGAACCGATTCACTCGCAATTGAATATGATAATTGACTCACCTATAATCGAATGAACTATCACCAGCCGAACGTTCTTCGCCAAGCACAGCGTTTAGCGTTTCTTCATCGACTTGATCTCGGAATTTCTGACGGGTCTTTCTTCGCACAAATTTGTCCCAATACTTCATTGGGAACGATTTCGAACTGATCACAATTCTATCCAAATACCTGAACATGCAATCAAATCATAAAAATATAACACAATAACAACAATAAGTTTAGGATTATATGCATTGTTCAATAATTTGTCACATTCACTAAATTTACACCGTTGAGCTGTTCATGGTAGTTGAATGAATATAGGAGTCAAAATGAAATCAACGGAGGCAATTATCAGTTTCTGAAAACCGACGGATTCATTTATATCTCATTTCGTGCGAAAGGATGACAATGTGATTTCTCTTCTCAAAGAAGATTGTGGAAAATCGCCCTCCTGTCCATGGAAACATTCAAACAAAACCCAAAACAATCCAAGAAATTGAGAACCTGACGCTTTTGGCAAATGGTTCGAAACAGAATGAAACAAGTAAGGATTAAGGAAGTACCAACCACATGACCGTGTNGATTTGATGAATTCCGACCAATTTTAAATAGGTGTAGCTTAAGAAATAGGCAGTTTTTTGAATTGTAACACTGCTCACAGCTCTACTATTAACAAGGTGANGGAGAAGGATGCTCTGAATCAGAGAAGACTGAAAAGTTCGGTTGGTCGGTTTCATAAATATAGCTAGCATATCAACGGCTGATTAACTTCAAAATTTGAAAAAGCAATGTACACCACGGATTTGATGATAAACGACCAATTTTAAATAGGTGTAGCTTATGAAATAGGCCGCTTTTTGAATTGTAACACTGCTCACAGCTCTACTATTAACAAGGTGATAGCACTTACAACATCGTTTCCAAAAAAATCTTACAGAACCAATTGCATAAAATAAAAAGTGATCAAAATATTTATTCATCGAAAAACGATTGAACGGATGATAATAATGATAACCTTCAGCTGATAGAATGAGACGAGCAAGGCAAACGAGGCAACCGCATGCACAACACTGATCCAGTACAGTAACTGAAATGAGACGATAAAGCAGCATCTAAACAAGAGGAGCATCGGATATTCATGTAAGGAAAACCATCGAAGGAATCAACAATTTGTCTACAAAACCGTTCATGAATTTTAAAGAAAGTCTGATTGTAATTAGAGAAGAAATGGATACTTTTTGGGCATTGCCTCATTAACGTGCGATTCCCTCACATGACAAGGTTCATACATTCAAGTTTACGAAATGAATGCAAAATCTAGTAATAATAATTTCAAACAAACTAATATACACCAGCAACATGGTCAATTCAATCGCTACAACGCAAAACAATACCTGAGCAAGCATCCAC